GGGCATCTGTGCAAGGAGCCGCCGACAGGTCTACTCAGTCGACGGGAAAACCTGAACTGAATTAACCAAGTCTTTCGTTTTCTACAGTTACACTATGCGACTCCTTATCTCATAAGATTCTAATCTAGTTTAATTATTGAAATGTCTATATATTATCGCTCCAACATCACTATCATCCATCTTGTCAACTGCGTCAACTACTTGTTCTATTATTCTCATTGACACATATACCTCCTGACTAAAAGTCTAATTTAGGAATAATTGTTTACAGTGCTAATCAACATAATTCACCTGCACAATTTTCATTTTGCCTAGGAACAACAAAATCACATGTGACGCCATATTTGTTATCTAGAGTTCAGACAAGATTATGCATAATTAATTCTATTTTTATTTTTGGATAGGCAGTTCACATGATAAGAAATCAATCAGTCTGTAAATTCAGTATAATTTTGATATTTTCTATAACCTGATGATTTTAATGAGCGCCTTATGAATCCAAGATGCTATATAGAGATGATGAATTGCAAATTTTAAACCTAGTTCTGATGCATATATGAAGCGTCAGAAGAAGATGTCTATACATTTCAATTTCAGCAATTTGAAAAAAGTGTTATGCAACCCCCCCCCCGTCCAGTTTTGTATAATCTTAGTCATATTTCTTGACCTGAAAGCTACATTCTATGCCGTCGACCGAGAGGTGATATGGCGATGTTTGGCTGTGAACGGGATGCCGAGAAAATACATTCCACTGATCCAAGTACTCAACTCGAACTCATGCAGCCAGCCAGGTGAGGGCCTACGGCGAGTTGTCATCTGAACTAGTGACAACAAGTGTGGTGTCCGTCAGCGTTACCCACTATCCCCATTTCTATATAATTTCATCATAGATGTACTAATGGACTTAACCCTAAGTGACTTCAGCCACTCAGGGATTGACTTACTGCCACCACGGAATAATCCCGTTGACTTCGAATATGCAGATGATATAGTCCTCCCAACTAGTTGAAGACACTGACAAAATAGAGCACAGTCTTCTGAACACCCTGAGCTGAACAGCAATCTTCGAATGTTTGGCAAGCGATTTACTCCTGTCAAATGTAAGATGGTGCTACAGGACTGGACTACATTGACTCCTAACTTCGAAATAGAGTGTGAAGTGGTAGAGCTCGTTGACCACTTCACTTATTTAGGAAGCAACTGGAACTGGTGCACATCTGTGCAAAGTTCTACGTTGAAACCTGTCAGTCAGTCAGTCAATCTTTGTGGTAAATAAATTTTGTAGTTTCGTGTGCATTTTGTAGTTCTACTTATCTTTGTGAAGGCTAAACCTTCCTCGCGTATTGATTTGTTGATTGAATATATATATATATATATCACAGTGAAACGGTGGAATCCCAATGGGTCGTCAGTCTGAGGGTGACATGGAGGAGATAATGTAGCGAGGAGATGAGAGATTATGGTCAGTCGTAGAGCTAGCCAGCTGAAGAGGACAACAGAAAATGGAAGAAAGTGGAGATATGTTGTTGAAGCCTTATGTTCCACTCGGAACCGAAGGGAATAATAGTAATTATTCATAGTTTACCAGCGTGCCTAAGTACCTAGCCAGAAATCAAGTGGTTTGCAGTGATTCGCGTCACCTACCTGGATAAGTCAAACTGGATACACCGGTGATAAGCGTAGCCCTAAATGAACGGAATGGCCGTTCATTCTTAAGATCACTTTGATCTGGTATCCAAATTTTCATCTGAGCCAGTCAATCGCTGGCATATAGCGTAATGACTATATCGTATATGAAAATTGGCATTCACAAAATCCTACAATCAATCAGTCAGTCAATATGAAGTTTTGACGAAAGTGCATCAGTGCAAGTTATAATGCATGTTGAAACAGGATATCTGTACACATATACTTTAGAAAAAAAATAATATCCACACTAATGAAATATGATTCTGAAACAAAAATGAGAATAGATGTAAATGTGTTAAACGTGAATAGTGTATATAATACCACATTTATATAGATCACACAGTGAAAGAGTACTGTAGCATGATGCTACATATACTACTGATTGATGTCATATGAGTAAATTGGATACCACTCAGTTCGCCTAAGTAGTGGTCCACCAGAATTTAGGTGTTTTTTTTAAAATTTTTATATGATTCGGTTCTCTGAACTGAGTCACACCGAGCGAGTAGGCCACTGATAACCTCGTCCATAAACAAGTGAAACAACCGTTCAGTGTTTGGTTCACTTCGATCTGGTTCACAAGCACCTCTAGTTGACTGACTGACTAGTTTCAATGTAGAACTTTCCACAGATGTGCACCTGTTCGAGTTGCCACACTCCCTCCATGTAACCCATAAAGCAAGAGAAAAGAGTAAAGACAAATTCGAAAAAGAGATAGTAAACAGAAACATGAGACGAAAAGAATAGTGATATGGAGGAACAATATAGTTTTATTGGATATTATAAATCGCAAGGAGTGAATGCATCTGCGCCAGTCATTGAGAACGATCAATTTAAGCCATGTCACCGATTGTCTCTGGCCACTGGTTTTTACCATTTTTTTTCTCCTGTCAAATGTAAGATAATGGTACGGGATCGGACTACATAGACTCTTAAAGGTAAGCTAGAATGAATTAGTCGGTGGAGAGTGTTAACCACTTCAATTATTTTGAAAATTACATCAGCCCTAGTAGATTGATTGATTGATTGCTGACAACGTCTCACCATGGATACAATAGGTTAGTGTGGTATTTGCCAACCTTTGTCATTTGTGGCGTATACATGATATCCAGCTATCTATCGATCAGAGGACGTGTGTACTGCCTAGCGGTTCGCTTTGTCCTCCTTTATGGCTGTATGATATAGACTTTGAAAGTCGAACATCTCAAACAGCTAATTGTATTCGCGGTCTATTTCCTGTGTTAAGTGATATGTTATAGTGAGCGATACTAAGGTTAGGCAGAGAGTGCTAGGTAAGGAAGGGAATTTGATGGATCAGGTTGTGAAGCTACATCGATTGAGATGGCTACGACTTGAGCCGCGCATGCTGAGCAATATTAGCCGACATTGCATTAGGTTGGAAAAGAGTTAGGGGGGTGGTCAAATCAAAACCTGAGATCAGTCCATGAAATAGTTGACTGTTGGTTTAAGCCAGCCACATCATGAAATATATAGGCTACCTGGTAGGGTTCGTTGGCATGCTGAGAAACAAAGATTGGAGGCTATTGATCATACGGGATCAAAATTGTTCTCAATGGAGCAGATGCATTCACTCTTTGTGATTTATAATATCCAGTTGAAAGTTTATTGTTCGTGCATATCACTATCCTTTTCGCCTCACACTTCTGTTTATTATCTCTCTTTCGAGTTTGTCTTTACTCTCTTCTCTTGCTTTGTATGTTACATGGAGGGAGTGTGGCAACTTGAACTGGTGCACATCGTGCAAAGTTCTACGTTGGTACTAGTCAGTCAACTAGCGGTGCTTGTGAACCAGATCGAAGTGATTCAAACATTGAACGGTTGTTTCACTCGTATAAGAACGACTGTGTGACTGAGTTCAGAGAACCGAATCAGTTAAAAAGGAAAACACCTAAATTCTGGTGAACTACTACATAGGCGAATTGGCAATACATTAGATCAAATTCGTAATTTACAATTAATTCAGTTGACGTGAGTGTTATCCAATTTACTCATATGAAATCAATGAGTAGTATATGTAGCATCATACTACAATATTGTTTTTCTGTGTGATCTATATAAATAAACTGTTACGAAACTACACATACTATCACAGTATTCAAGTTTGACACATTTACACCTAATCTCATTTATGTCTCAGAATCATATTTCATCACTATGGTTATTGTGTATATGTGTACAAATATCTTGTTTCAACATGCATTATAACTTGCACTGATGCACTTTTGTCAAGACTCCATATTGACTGATTGATGGATTGATTGACTGTAGGATTTTGTGAATGCCAATTTTCATATACGATATAGGCATTACGCTATATGCCAGTGATTGACTGGCTCAGATGAGTAGTTAGTTGGATACCACACGCGCACACCAAACCAGTAGTGAGCTTCCTAGCCAGATCAAAGTGATTTTAACAATGGACGGCCATTCCGTCCGCTTATCACCAGTGTACTCAGTTTGACTTATCCAAGTAGGAGACGCGAATCACTGCAAACCACTTGATTTCTGGGTAGGTACTAAGCCAAGCTGGTGAACTTTGATTAATTATTATCATTCTGTTGGATTCCGAGTGGAACATAAGGCTTCACAACACATCTCCACTTTTATTTCCTAGTGTCCTCTTCAGCTGGCTAGCTCTACGACTGACCATAATCTCTCATCTCTTCCTCGCCACACTATCTCCTCCATGTCACCCTCACACTGACGACCCATTGAGATTCCACTGTTTCACTGTGATATATATATATATATATATGTATATACAATCAACAAATCAATATGCGAATTACAAAATGCACACCATACTACAAAATTTATTTTCCACAATGTTTGACTGACTGACAGGTTTCAACGTAGAATTTCGCTCAGTGTCATGAACTGGCACTAATCTTTTACTGCTAGAGACATTCTCTATTATGTTTTAGAAATACTATTTAATCAGTACAACTTAATAAAAGGGTTCATTAAATACCCTCGTGTTTTTTCTGTGGTACTAATTCTCCCGCCGTCCCCTCCCGTTAGATGTCTGCTTATTAGAGTTCGTTTGGATCCTTTTTTCTCTCTTTCTTTTGTCTTCTTTTGTGTGCTACTTGGAGTGTGGCAACTTGAAATGTTGACCTTTTGTACAGAGTTTTATGTTGAAATTCAGGCAGTCATGTTGGATTACTTGTCCCCTTCGGCTTTTAGTATCCTGTATTTCTCTGATCAATATCGGTTCATCTTACAATTAAACTTTCATAAATCTTCATTTATTTATTTATTTGTCTTTCGTTTTTGTTTTGAAATTATAGGAAGCTAAATCACATGTTGAACTTTGTGCTCAAAAATTGAAAGGATGCAAAATAATTTATGCTGAAGCAATGTCACGACTTGAACATTTATCCAATTCAATTCATAGTATGCGACAAGTCACGATCAATGTGTCAATGGTCAGGTTAATTCAGATAAACAAACGAATCATTCAATCAGTGATAATGGCGAGGATGTGGATGGATGATAATAATGACGATGACAATGAGTGTGAATATACTCATTGTAATATTGATGAAAGTCATCCAGTCGATTTAAACAATACTACTGCTACTACTGCTACTGATGCTGATCGGTCAATCGATCAATTATTATTCCCTTCTGATTTAAATAAAACGCCTAAATCTACTGACACAATTATAAATTCAAATAATTGTACACATTATTCTCAGTGTGATGTACACATGAATGCCTATGCAAGGGTGAAAAAGTTTTCATTGATAAATGGCTTGTTGGAGGTAAATTTTATTTTGTTTGTTTTCGTTTTGTCATTATTTGAGATGACAGTTTATTTAACGTATTTTTAGTATGTCCAATAACTGATCCCTTCATATTTTTTATAAACTTGCATCCCTTTGGGACATAGGGCTTTAAGATTAAGCTTTGAAGTTTTAATGGCTGTGGGTTGGGGGGGGGGTCGCTGACCTTACGCCGAGCCCGCTAAGTGAAATTTCAGAGTGCATTCGACGGGGATCGAATCCCGAACCAAAATGCCCTGTTGACATCTCGGATGTTAGTACGATCGCTTCGATGAGATGAACGAGATATCACTTGCTTGATTTTGGGGCTAGCAGTGGAATCAAGAACATGTGTATCGTTCTATTTGGGACATGTCAACTGAATATACTTGCATCCCCTAGGGAGTGATTGACCAATGGCCTGGTTGATAGCGCCTTGGTGTTTGAAACGATGTGTGATGAATGAGTCTAAATAGGGACACTGTCACTCATTGAGGATGCAATCACATCCAGCTGACGAGTCGTAAAAAGGGCTAAATGCGCGTTATGAATTCCACTGCCAGCTGCTTCCAACCGGGTAACGTCACGGAGGTTTGGGGAGTTGCTTTTATCAGCGGAAAGTTCCCATATTGAGTCATAAGAAAAGTGAATGCATCTCTGCACTATTGAGAATGATTTTGAGTCATATCACGGATGACATCCAATCATTTTCTATCTTAGCATCAATCTACAGAGAACTGTCATAGTTTGACAGATAACGGTTTCATTTTACTTCATGCATTTATTCCTCTTTGTGAATTTGAATATACCAAGAACAACAGTTTATGCAGATGGCACCATCACTGTTCATTTCGTTGGCTTTTCATCAGTTTCTGATAGCCTAAAAATGTTATTAATTTGATGCACAGAAACAATTTTAACGCACCTACCTAGAGAGTTCAAGTTTAAACAAAAAATCAATGTATTCACACAATGGTAATAATAATAATAATCACTTTATTCTAAACAACAATGATAATCAGGTGAAATGGTAGTTTCAGCGTCAAAGGTTATGCAATCAATTGAAAGAGAGAATAATAAAGACATCCAGTTACCAGGACAAGGAAAGACTGACAACTGCTTCTTTCTGAACACATGAACCAGGTTCCTTGGCGTTCGATAGAGATTGCTTCAGTAAACTTGAGGAGAAATGAGCTATTTTGTCTATTGTTAATTTTGAAGGTTTTTCTAATGTCCATCTCATTACCCATATCATGGAGATGCTTGGCAGTGGCACTTTAGATACGTAAACGTTTTGATACATGTTCAGAAAATCAGAAATGTGGCTTTCTTCCTCTTCTGTCAGTGTAACTTCAACCACAGACACTTGTAAATTTGTATATACAGTTAAAGTTAACATGAGAAGGGTATCTGTCGACTTTTGATTGCACCAAAGAGCATTGTGTCCGATAAACAGATACATTGATTTTTTGTTCAAACTTGAACTCTATGGGTAAGCGTGTTAAAATTGTTTCTGTACATAAGTCTAATAATGATATCTTCAGGCTGTAAGCAGTTGAGGAGAAGCCAAAGAAATGGAACAATGACGTCACCATCAAATATTCTACATAAACTATTGTTCTGGCTTCATTCAAAGTTTCATTTTGCTTATACATGATATATGAAGTTGTGTTTTGTTACAATGGATATAATGTTATCAGAGTAATGGTTGAAGCATACTGTCATAATTCACCAGTTTCAATGAAACCAGTCTTGCCAGTCTGTAGGATTGCAAATGTTATTTAATGATTGTCATATTGCAGCATTGGGCTTCATGGTTTCATGCTAGTATGCATGGTGTATTGCATAAGAAACGCTTCGTCACTACTTGTTTCCCTGTACTGGCAGTCATTTAAACTGGTGTATTTTAATGGAAGTATGCTTTTCAACATTCTGGTATCAGACTACCAGACTTCAATTTTTGTTCCTCTATCTTTCATTGATCCCTTTTCTTTCTTTTTAGTCTGTCCACCAGGCTACTATTGAACTTGATGCATTTCAAAATTCTTCCTTCTTATCTCCTATGGATGATTTGAAAGAAGAATATGCATATATTAAAGCAGATTCATGTTCTGCTGCTGCTGCTGCGGTGGCGACTTCTGCTACTACCGCCACCACAAGCACTGCCAGTATCACTGCTTCATCATCGTCATCATATGGTGAAAATAATTCATATTCAGAATCTCTATCCGTCTCGTCGTGTGCTTCATCATCGGCATCCATCTCACCAGCATTTTCATTTGATGCTGTTACATCACTTGATGAGCCTTCTACATTATTGGTAATTAACTCGTTGAGTAATTTAAATTTAACCTCACCTACCACTACAACAACAACATAAGTGTCATTATTATTATTACTATTTATAATATTGTACATTTTAATAGTTTTATTGTTGAAATATGTATTAAACATTGTATATTCTCGTAACTTTAATCCCACCCCCCCAGTCACAATGGAATTTATCAATGTTCGTTTTTTTTGTCTAATTTTCTAATATTCGAGCATTTTCTTTTATGAAATTGTGTTTAAAATGTCGATAATACTATCTCCTTCCAGTTTTTACAATCATTTTACATTGAACAGTCATTTTTTTGTTTTGTTTTAATTCATTGTCTGGTTTTCGGCGCCAGCGACAATCAGCAAAACACAATGACAATCTTTTATTTTATTTCAACTCTTTCAATACATATATTATATGTATGTACCTACGTATGCCCGTATGTATGTATGTGTATGTATTTACGTATACATGACCTTGACAGAAGCCTGTCTAGTACACCTGTCTAATTGTGTTCAATACTGTTCAGTGTTCAATAGCCAGTGACCTTGTTGAACATTGAAATAAATCAATCAGTTGAAGAAAAAGATGCTGCTGATTCATCCTATAATTAATTTGCTTAGGTATTTTATAATTTATTTTATTTTAATTCCTATATTATATTTATTTGTCTTTTGTTTTGCTTTTAATCATTGTGTATTTTTGTTGATTTCTTTTAATTTTTAATTTTCGTCTTCTCTAATTAGTTTTTACTTTTATCTAAAGACAAAGTGAATGCATTCAATGGATTCTTAAGATTATTATTTCTATTCTCTTATTAGTTTAACACTAATATATTTTTTTCTAGTCATAAATATAGTTGAATGCGTTGTACAATCATCATTGAAATCATTTTCTTCTCTTTTAAACGATGAATTTAAACATCAGAAGCATTTTATTTCAAAATTAAAACAAAAAACACAATATTGTTAATTTTTGTTCAATTTAGGTTATCTTGCACGCCTTTTCAACCCTCCTTTCTTTTCTCTCCTCTAAAATCAACAAAACAAGTAAAAGGAATCTCTTTTGACCTTATGATATCGTTTAATTTTTAGAAAAAAAAGAAATATTTGTTTGAATGATTCAGTTTTAATTTTGAAACTAAACTGGCGGGAGACCTACACACAAGAAGCATTAGCTGTTCAATAATACATAAATATATATATTTAAAGGCGTTAATGATTTTCTGCTGTCGCTATCTGGTTGCTATCACTTGGGTTTAAAATATGTAGAAAAGGTAGATTCGACAACCGATATACGTCTACGCTAAGCATTTATGTGACGCAACTATAGAATAATATGTAAAAGAATCTGAAATGATGTTACAAGTCGACATTATTTTGGGGGCGATTGATATTCAAGAATAAGCGGCAAACTGTTTCACTCTAGTTCCCTGTCTCTTCGGCGATACGAACTCCATCAAGGATCTAACTCGAAGATCTGTAGGCTACGTGTTCAGTCACAAGGTTACGATCTAGTAGACCTTGGGCTCCAAGTGAAACATCGAACTTTAGTAGCACATCTCCATTTTGTTCTATTCTCTTGACTTCCTTTCATCTGGCTCTAGGACTACCCATATTCTCTCATCTTCTCATCGTACGATCTTCTCCTTGGTACACTCGTTGTTCCTCGTTCTGGTTCCACTCAAGCGATGGCCTGGCACGCGATGTCATTCAGTGTTCTCTTCAGTGTGTGACCAGTCCATTTCCACTTACTACTTACAACGTGGTATACTTGATCATAGACTTTAGGAAAACGTAATGTCAGATTAAGTCTGAATAAATTTAAGATACGCGTACTTATTATAGGAATATATATGAAATTAATAAGGAGTTAAGAGGTGAAAAAATAGACTCGGGTCAAGTTAAAATGACATATTGAAGGTCAAAATAACAATGAAGATCACTAAACCAAATAATAGAGGTAATAGCACATCTGCTATGTTTAAAGGATTTAATCATGAAGGATCCAAACCCCAGTGGTTGCGTGCTGCCAAAGAGTCCCAAATTCGGGCGAAACAACTATCCAGTAGTCCCAGGTTTTCCAGAGGTTCTCTAACCGATGTCAACTCGTGATGAAACCCTCTAACTAATCAAGTTGAATGATTAAAAATACTTATCCAATGGTGAGGATGACAAGTGTATGTATTTTTAAAAATACTTGGATTAAATAAAGTATAATTATATTTCAGTGGTTTACACACAATGATAAGTTTTTGTTTTTTGGTAATATTTAGAGCAAATTTACCGCCCTTGTCCACATCACTGTTGGAATTGTTTGATTCACACATTTATGATTTGTACTCATATATATAGTTCATTGTTTTTGTTCATTCATGTTTTTTTTGTGTTTGAGTTATATTCCACGTTAGTTCATGTTTTTGTATTCAGAATTATATTCCAAGTTGTTGATAGTTTTACTGAGTCACCCTTGTTTCATGTATCCGGTGTGACTTTAATGAATATCGATTCTGTTATAAGTCTTTCTTTCCATTTGTTTATGTTGGTTTTTAGAATACACACATTGTCCCAATCGATATTGTGGTTTTTGTCCCATGCATGTGCAGCTATCGATGAATTTTTTTCCAAGATTTTTGTAGGCTTATGTTCCTGTTGGTTGACCTTTGGATCAAGTTTCAAGTGGCGAATTATCGGTGATACGGTTACATATACATGAGCCAAGACAGGAATTCACTACTCTGAAACTGGCGCTCAGATCTACAGTAATCAACTCAGAGAACAATATCCTATTTTGAACAATAATATAAAGTCAGTCAACATTTATATATGGCTGACACACCAAGCTCCCAACAAGCCATTGAAGATTTTTCATCAACAGCTTCCGAATTCGCTTCATACTGGAAATCCGTTGGCCCACAGTAAAGGACGAAGAACTGTTGCAACGAACTAGGCAGAAAATTATTGTCTAAAAAACATATTATTATTCCCTTGAGTTCCTAGTGGAACATAGGGCTTCAACTACACGTGTCCACTTGCCTCTGTCTTCTGCTATACTTTTCACCTGCATCCATGTTAGTCCATGCTGTTTCAACTCCTCTTCACACGACCTCCTCCATGTCACCCTTGGACGTCCCACTCGCCACTTCCCTTTCGGGTTCTACTCAAGGGCCTGACGCGCGATGTCACCCAGCGGCCTCCTCTGCTCAGCGAGTGTCCAACCCATCTCCAATTTCTCCTGCATATTTGTTGGGCGATTGGTTATTGTTTTGTTTGTTCCCATAGTTTCTTGTTGGTGATTCTTTCCGGCCATCTGATCTTCAGTATAGAGCGAAGACAGCTGTTGATAAAGGTCTGCAACAGGCTGTTGGAAATATTCTCGGTGACCTGTCAAGTTTCTGATCCGTATAGAAGAACTGACTGACTTGACGTCGTTTGTATTGAAAATCCGAATTTTGTTGTTGATGCAGGCTGAGTGACGACGATTTCCAGATTGGTTTCAGGTTGATGAATGTGTTTCTCGCCTTCCCGATTCTCGATTTGACATCCTCGTCCGTTCCTCCTTTAGTTGAGACAATGCTCCCTAGATAAGTGAGTGAATGAAGTTACCTCTTTCAAATCCCTCCCGTTGATGGTGATTGGCGCTGGATGTTGCTGTTGTTGTTGTTGTTGGTTGGTTATTTTCATAACCTCCGTCTTGTCTATGTTCACCTGGAGTCCTGTCTTTGCTGCTTCTTCGACCAGTTTGTCGGTTTTCGCTCATAAGTCTTTGATTTTGTATGACATCAAACATAAATCATCCACGCACGAAATCCAGGTCTTCTAGATTCTTCATGTCGGTCCAGGATATCCCTGTCTTCTCGTTTCTCACTGTCTGACGCATAATCCAGTCCACCACAATTAGGAATATCATTGGTGATAATAAGCACCCTTGTCTGACTCCTGTGTTTACTCCAAACGCCTCGCTGAGTTTTCCGTTGTGGATCACTTGACATGTGCCGTTGTCGTACAGCTGTTGAATAAGGTTGATAAATATTTGGGGTATGCAGTAGTACTCGAGTAGTTTCCAAATTACTTCGCGGTCAGTGCTGTCGAAGGCCTTCTCAAAGTCTATGAAGTTGAGGTAGAGATTTGATTGCCATTCCATGCTTTGTTCGATGATGATGCGTAGAGTTGCAATTTGGTCAGAACATGACTTGTCTTTCCTGAATCCAGCTTGTTCTGGTCGGAGTTCTGTATCCAGTGCGTCCTTTATTCTCTCCAGGATGATGCGAATCAGGATTTTACTTGGCGTCGACAGGAGCATGATTCCTCACCAGCTCTTGCAGAGTCCTAGGTCGCCCTTCTCTGGTAGTTTCACGAGGTAACCTTTCCTCCAGTCAGTAGGCACCTTTCCCTCCTTCCAGACCTTTTGCAATAATGGAGTCAGCATATCTGCTGTCGTCTTCGGGTCCGCTTTCAGTGCTTCCGGGGGTATTCCATCTGGTCCAGCTACTTTTCCAGCTTTCAGAAGCTTGATTGCATTCAAGACTTCAGCTTTCGTTGGAGGATTGGTGTCAACTTGCAGTTGTGTATGCGCTGTTGTTGGTATTTATGGACGGGTTGCAGGTGGTGGTCGATTCAAGTGTCCTTTGAAGTGGTCCGCCCATTGTTTAATCTGTCTTTTTTTCTTGGTAATTGGGTTCCCTTGGCTGTCTTTTATAGGTCTCAATTGTGTTGATCTCTTCCCGGATAGAGACTTGGTTATCTGATATAGTGTCCTCAGGTCCTATTTTGCCTGCTGCCTTCTCAGCTTCAGTGGCCAGGTTATCGTAGAATTGTCTTTTTTCCTTCTTGGCGCTCTTCTTCACTTCTTTGTCCAGTGCTGTGTAAGTTGAGCTCAGCGTCTCTTTCTCTTGTCCGTCTTTGCATTGAATCATTTTCTGTTTCACCATTCTCCTCTCCTCTATTAGCTTCCAAGTGTCCGTTGAGAGCCATTCCTTGTCTTGTCTCTTCTTTCTTCCTAAAACCGTTGAACACGTTTCGTTGAAAATCACCTTCTGAGAGTTCCAATGGTCTTCCACG